GATTTTGTTATTTAAAACAACAAATGCAGCGGAAAATACGTAATAAAATTAAACAACATTCTAGGATTCAAATGCCAATCGTTTAGCATCAAAGCTTCCAAATCTCAAATCCCTTGTATCATCAATTGTTTTTGGTATCACCCACATCTTACAAAATAATGTTTTTAGTACTCAATGTCTTTTGTTTTGTACATTTTTTTTTATATAAAAGATATATTAGGTTTTACAATATTTTTTTGGTGAACATGCCATCAACAATATTTATGTTATGATTGTCAATATTTCGTTTTTTTTTCTTTCTTTTAAAAAACTGCGTGCGGTTCTCACCTCTAACAAAGGTAAATCTTCGTTTTATAACCTATTGGAATCAAACCCTTAAACATAACAAATTACCCACTAAAAATTAACATATCAAATTACTAAAGGTGACAAAATCCACTAGGCAGTCTGCAACATTGCAAAATCAAATTAGTTTTAAAAAAAAAACATTGCAAAATCACGCCCCTCGTTTTTTTCCTGCGGGTCGTACAAACGCATTTACTGTATTTTTTGTTTTATTTTTGGTATTTGCGCAACACACAAATTTCAAAATAATTTGTAAAAGTTTGCCACTTTTTAGTAAACTAATTTGAATTTTCAAAATACGTGGTGACAATTTTGTTGTATTAGAGATAAAAAAAGAGTTCATTTTTCTTAAGTTAAAGACTACATGATGACGAAAGTTAAATAAAGATGTGATGACTTTTTTGTTTGGAATTGCGATCTTTACCCGTTCACCATAGAGCAATTTCATTCTCATGCCTTAACCTTAAACATACGCACACAAGATCGTTTCACAATGTATGCAAAACTTAATGTTGTCGTGATTTTGAGATCATGTATTTTAAAAAAAACCATATTATGTCATACGTTAGAATAACAAAAAATTACCACAATTAAACTTAAAAACGATTGCATAACATTCATAGAAGTGTATGCCCCAAAATATAAATAAGCTCTTTGGAAGATATATTTAATATTTGCATATCATATTGAACAAGATATGTTTGCATATGGTTTTATATACTTATTATCACACAATCCCATACCCTAAGCGTATGTACATGGTATATGACTATGAATTATTTTCCATCAAATTGTATACTACTAAATAATAAAGGAGAAAATTAGGGATGAAAAGTTAATTTTCTTAAACATGTCCCAGAGCATCCTCATTTTTGAGGTTTGT